CCGCGTCCTCCACAAGGTTCGCCGTCCCCCCGTCGCGCCGCTTCGTCTTTGAGGGCGCGGCGCCATCGCTCTCGAGTAGCCACGTCCTCTAGCGCATATAAGTAGCTCGGACGTACCCCGTATGTTATCTCGGATTCCGGGAGTACTGACGGACGTAACTTTTTATTTCTGAGGTGTCTGACGGCGGCGCGCGGCGCCCCAGGCCGGCGAGAAAAATCACGGACGCCAGAGCAATGGTGGCCATTGAAATTAAAAATAACATGACGACAACGTGAAGCTATCCGAGCGCATTCGTCGGCTGCCGATGCTTCGTCAACTGGTTGGACGTCCCGCGCTCCGCGAATCTGCAGCGATGTGCAACGATCCCAGCAGCTTTGAGGTCCGCAAACATATGGACGAGGCACCTGCGAAGACGCGACATCCGGACGATTGTGAGGCGATGCAAACGGACCGCTTCAGGGGGTGGGACGAGGCGCGGCAGCTTCCCCTGACCCGATTTTGAGTCAAATTCGAGCCACAGAGCGTCGGGAATCGTTCGTCATGAGGGCGATCAGATGCGTTCGCGGCAGCTTTCCGGCTCGAGTCGATTGGATCGAGATCACCTCATCGACTCCGAGAGGCGCGAGCGTCGCGAATGCCACGGCGCTGACCGCGGAACGCATGTTCCGAGCTGGCAGCGCAGTCCTTGCCGAGCCAGTCGAGAAGGACAATCGAGGGGATGTCACCTCGCACTCTCGCTGCCAGCTCGACCCCTGGTACGAGGTTGCCCCCCCATCGACCGCCGTTCACCGTCAATGGCCGTTCTCGTCATCCATGGGCTGCCCCGACGCGAGCTAAGTTGGTCGCCTTCGACCGATGGCGTTTCCCGAGCGATTCGCTGCGGGCCCCGAGGCGCGGCACGGTCCACAGATCGAGCGCAGCGCCAAATCTTAGAATCGCTGCATCGATGCACGAGCAGAAAGCGTTGTGCAGGACGGCTGAACTCGCGGCTGGCAACCGTTGGCCTTCATCGTGGCTTCATGTTATTTTTAATTTCAATGGCTGCTGTTGCTTTGGCGCTTGGAGGCATGCTCGCGCGCTCCGTGGCGCCGTTTCGCCGACGCGAGCTGTCCTAGATTAACCTTTGTGAGGGGGGACCGGCGTCCTCGGATGAGCTAACTGAGTGCGTCACGACGCTCTCCTTGAATGCGCTAGTGCTCTAGGCGAGCTCTCGAGGCTCACCCGGTGCGGCAGCTCGTTCTAATCGGGAGATAGACCATCGCGCACTTCGATGGGCTGCAGCCAGAGCGTCGAAACAGAAGAAGACAGACGGCAGAAAAATCTAAAATACCTCGACGACCTCAAAAAGGAGGAGGAAAAGCAAGCGGCGAGCGACGCCAAGGCGGTGGCCAAGTGCATGAAAACTCGCGACAAAGACGACCCGTACCCGAACGAGGCGTCACGCGCCGCGGACCTGGCCGCGCAGACCGCGGGCATCATCGCGGCGCGGGAGGCGCGGAGGCAACAAGAAGCCCAGCGCAAGCTTGCCAAGACGCGCGTAGGCAAGGGCAAGACCGAACCGAACTACTGGGATCTAATGGGGCAAGTTCGATAGGCCCAGCCAGGCGACAGCCTTCCTAACGAAGGTGACATCCCGGCGCCTCAGGTTGGAATTGCCATCTCATTTCCCCTCACAAAAACCCGAAGTGGCAAAAGGAGTGGCAAAAGCAAGCCGCGCGTCGCAGTGCATCAGCCTCGCACGCCGCCATGGAGTCCGTCGTCGCGTCCCTGACGGACCCGGAGCGTCCGACGTTCCTCCACGGCATGACGCCGCCGCTGGACAGCACGTCCGTGGGCGACGCGCAGGTCATCGCGGACAAGTTCATCGCGCGGTCGCGGAACCTCGCGAGCGACGGCTTCATCGTCTACGACATCCAGGACGAGCCGAGCCGGTCGGGCGCGTCGCGGCCCTTCCCCTTCCGCCAGCTCATGGACTCGAGCACCTACGCCGCGCTCGTGTCGCGGTCGAGCGGCAAGCCCTGCGTCGTCTACAAGTGCTGCGACGACGAAAACTTCGAGCAGTGGCTCGAAACGGCCGCGGACCAGCACGGCCACGACGCCATCAACGTCGTCGGCCGCCCCTCCGCCGACGCGCCGCCCAAGGGCCCGTCGATGCGCGAGGCCATGGCCTTGGTCAACGCCTCGAAGGCCGCCTTCGGCTGCGTCTGCATCCCCGAGCGCCACACGGACGACTACGCGAAGAGCCGGGGCAAGGCCGCGCCGGGCGAGCACGAGAACATGCTCCGCAAGCACAAAGCGGGCGCGCAATGGTTCATCTCCCAGGCGGTCTACGACGCGGGGCCGACGATCCGGCTCCTGCGCGACTACGGCGCCGCGTGCCGGGCCCGGGGCCTGGCGCCGCGCAAGGTCGTGCTCACCTTCGCGCCCTGCGGCCGCGCGAAGACCATGGTCTTCCTCAAGTGGCTCGGCGTCCGCGTGCCCGAGGACGCGGAGAAGCGCATCCTGGACGCGGAGTCGCCCGTCGACGAGTCGGTGACTTTGCTCTGCGAGCTCTTCTCGGAGATCCTCGACAAGACGCGCGGCTGCGGCGTGCCCCTCGGCGTCTCCGTGGAGAGCGTGTCCATCTTCAAGAAGGAGATCGAGGCCGTCCACGACCTCTTCCGCAAGACGCAGGCCATCGCGCTCGACCACCGCGGCAAGGCCTGGAAGGTCACGTGGTCCGAGGCGAGCGCCGCGCCCGCGGCACCCGCGCCCGCGGCCGCGCCGGCGGCGTCCCCCGCCGTCGCGCTCGCCGCGGCCGCGCTCGCCGTCTCCGTCGCCTGCCTCCTCATCGTCGTCGCGAAGCTCCCCTAGGAAACCTCCCATCGTAATCTGTAAGCTACCCCTCCTCCTACTCCGCGGGCGCCTGGCCGCCCTTGGTGTAGGGCGACCAGGGCGGAATCCCGTCGCCGTAGTCCCGCTTCCGCGGCGCCGGGGGCGGCGGTGGCCGGGCCGACTGGGGCGGCGGCGCGGCGAAGGCGATGGACGAGTGGAACTCGAAGCCGTCGCCGCGGCGCTTCCGCACGGGCGGCCGCCGCGGCGGCCCGTCCGCGGGCTTGGGCCGGCGGCCCGCGCGGAGGCCGTCCGTCTCGACGAACTGGTCGCGCGTGACGACGCCGCCGCGGAGCGAGCCCTCCCCGCCGCAGACAGCGTTGCCGCCGCGCTCCTTGAGGGGCACCTCGGGCGCCTCGCGGCGGTGGCTCCGGGGGAAGAGCTCCTCGCGGGACGCCGCGGCCGCGCCAGGCGCGTGGCCGGCCAGCGCCGCGGCGACGCGGCCGCTGCCGAAGCTCACGCGCTGGCAGATTTTGGCGTCGCCGAGGCCGCCGCGCGCCTTGGAGGTCGGGGCCGGCGCGGCGACGCGCTTCTTCGCGTGGAAGTCGGGCGCGGGCGGCTTCGGCGTTTCGCCGGCGGACCCGGACGCGTCGGCGATGGCCGTGCGGATGCCCTGGCCGCTCCGTTTCGGCGGCGGCGGCGGCGGCGGCGGCGCGCGCGACGGCCTCGGCGGCTCGAGCGCCTGCACGGACTCGGCCGCCGCGCCGACGAGGTCGCTCGCCCGCTGGCCGCCGGCGAAGACGAGCGACTTGGCGCGCGTCGGCGACGTCGGCAGGCGCCGCTTCTCCGGCCGGTGCGCCGCCGCCGCGGGCCGCGGATACGCCGGGACGCCGTGGACGCAGCGGCCGCACATCTCGAGGACGCGGCGGCTGCAGCGCATGTTCCTGAGCGTCTCCTCGGCGCGGTCCCAACTTACCAGCTCGCCCGACGCGCCGTTGACGACGACGGCGTTGCTCGGCGGGCCGTGGTGCGGATAGAGGCCCGCCGTGCCTACGCGCCACATCGCGCTGGGGACGGCGCTGGTGCTGCAGAGCGCGACGGCGCTGGCGCCTGAGAGCGCGTCCGTTTCGGGCTGCCCTCTCGAACGGACCGATCGCGACCTTGATGTCGGCACCGTCGGCTTTTTGCTGTACAACTTGCTCGTTACCTCGCCCGCCCGCCGCCGCCTACCGCCTATCGGTAGTCGAGGACCTCGATGCGGTCGCTCTTCTCCTTGATCTGGGCCTCGAGCGCGTCGATCTGCGCCTTGAACTGGCCGAAGACGCGCGAGATCTCGCCCTGGTCGCCGAGCGAGAGCGCGTCGTAGATCTGGACGCCCATGGCCTGCGCGAAAACATCGGTCGCCGGTCCAGCGCGGCGCGCGCGCGCGGCTGGCTCCGCGGCGGGCGCGCGCGGCTGGCTCCGCGGAAGGCGCGCGCCTCGGAGACGGAGCTTTCCGCGGCGGACGTTTCCTCTCGGACGCGGCCGCGGCGCCTTCTTCGCGCCAGTCACCTTGCTCTGGAGGATCTGGATCTCGGCCTGCAGCTTGGTCTTCTCGGCGGCGACGCTCGCCCGCCGCCCGGCATCCTTCGCGCCGGCGCTGATCTTCGACCACATGTCGCTCATGGTTTTCGACCTGTGGTTGGTGGCATCGCGGCCGCGCGGTCGTCGCGCGAGATGCGGCCGCGCGAAGCAACGTATGCGCGCGCTCGCGAAGGGATGCGCGCGCGCAAATGTGCGCGCAGACGCGGTGTTGCGCGCCACACGCGATCGATCGATGCGGCCGCGTCGGTCCTCTGATCGAGTCGATTCGACCTGCCGGGGCCCGACCCGCGCGGCGCCCAACACACCCGACGCGCTTACCGCACGGCGTGGAACCCCTCGAGCACGGGCTTCGCCGAGAGGCCGTCGAAGGCGAGGTCGCGGGCGGAAACGCGCGGCGGCGCGACGACGCGGGACCCTCGTCGCAGCGCGGACGAGTCCGGCGTCCGCGGCGCGCCGTCGGGCCCGGGCGGGCCCGGCGCGTCGGTCTCGCGCCGCCGCGCGACCATGGCCAGCGAGTGGCGCGACGCGCGCGAGATCACGGACTCGCGCTTCGGAGCGGCGGTCGTGGGCGGGTCGGGCCGCGCGGGCGGTTTCGCGCCGTCCGGGGCCAGCACCGCGGCGCTCGGGATGCGGATGGCGCCGCCCTTGGCCGCCTCGGGCGCCGCCGCCGCCTTGGACCGCGGCGGCGCGGCGGCCGTCGGCACGCGCGCGAGCGACGCCTTGGGCGTCAACGGCGGCGCGCCGGACGACGCCGTCGAGTGGTGCTCCGTGATGGACCCGAGGGCGCGGCTCGGCTCCGCGGGCGGCGTCCGGCTCCGCGACGACGCGCGCGAGCGCCGCGGCGACGGCGACCGGGACGAGGCCCGCCCCGGGGACGACGGCCGCCCCGCGGACGACGGCCGCGGGAACGCGCCGGGCGGCGGCGACGGCGACCGGCTCGAGCTCCGCGACGGCCGCAGCGTGCCCCGCGGCGACGGCGACCGGGACGACGCGCGGCCCTTGGGCGACGACGGCCGCGGCGGCGACGACGACGACGCGCGCCCCGGCGACGACGCGCGGCCCGCGGACGACGGCCGCGCCGGCGACGGCGACCGCTGCGTCGTGCGGGACGACGACCGCACGGTGCCCCGCGGCGTCGACGACCGCACGGTGCCCCGCGGCGTCGACGACCGCACGGTGCCGCGCGGCGACGGCGACCGGGAGCCACTCGCGCGGAGCACCGTGCCGCGCGACGCGGGCCGCTTCGTCCTGCGCCGCTCGCCCGGGAGCTTCGTCGACCGGCGGCCCGGCGACTTGCTGCCGGCGCCGGCGTTGCGCGTCTTCCGCCGCCGGCCCCGGCCGCCGCCGTCGTGCGGGAGCGTCGTCGGCCGCCGCTCTACGCGGCTCAGCCGCGCGGTGCGCCGCCGGTCGCCCGGCGACGGCGACGGCGAGCCCGCCGGCGGCTCCCGGAGCCGCTTCGGCCCCGTCGCGACGCGCCGCGGCGGCACGACGGACCGCGGCGGCGGCCCGTCCTCCTGGAGCTTGAGCAGGTTCACCTTCTTGAGCGCGTCGCCCGCGCGGCCGACGTCGGACTTGCGCGGCGTGCCCACGACGGCCTGCTTCTCGGCCTGGAGCTGCTGGAGCTTGAGGACGGGCGACGCGACGACCTTGCCGCCGCCCGTGCGGAACGAGTTCGGCGGCGGCGTCCGCGAGCCGACCATGCTGATCCGCGACTTCCGCGCCTCGCGGTAGCCGTGCTCCAGATTCGTGTCCATGGACAGGAGCATGGACCGCCGGATCTTGGGCCGCTCCGTCTTGTTGAGCCACGTCGACCGCTGGTCCTTCGTGAGGTACTGCTTGAGCTTCACGTTCTTGGAACCCGCGGAGAACTCGCCGTTGGAGGTCACCGCTAGATTCTGCACCATGTAGGGCAGCATGAGCTCGAGCTTGTAGCCCAGCAGCGTCGCCGGGTCCGCGTTCCACGCGAGGAGCTCCGCGGCCTTGGTTTTGGCGTCGTGGTCGCCGGCCTCGTACAGCCGCGAGATCTTCTCGAAGAAGTCCGTGACCGAGTGCGCGCGCGCCTCGTGCATGGCCTCGACGGCGGGCACGAGGGCCTTGTCCACGGCGCGGCACACCGCCTCGAGAAAGGTCGTATACGTCAGCGTCGTGAACTTGTGGCGGTCGCCGGCCTCGTCGACGAAGCGCATGCGCGCCTGCACGAAGACCAACCGCGCGTCGTGGCGCGAGATCTCGGAGATGAGCATGCCCGTCGTCTCCATGAAGATCATCCACTCGCGCAGCCCGAAGTTCGTGCGGCCCATGAGCGGGTTGATGTTGCCCAGCGCGGACCAGACGGCCTTGAGGACCCGTTGATGCCGCAAAAGCGCCTGGTCGACCTCGTAGTTGTACAACCGCTTCGTCCGGTACGCGTCGCCGTCGGCGATGGCGTCCGGGGCGAGCTTCGAGAAGTGCTCTAAGCGTAGCCGGTCCAGGGGCTCCTGCAACGACGCGACGGACACGGAGCCGCCCGCGGCGACGACGCCCGAGTGCCGCGCCTCGAGCTGGTACTTCTCGTTGGCGATGCGCAGGATGGCCTCGACCATCTCGTGGCGCATCAAGGAATTGTCGTCGTTGACCGCGCTCACCTTGGAGTCCACGGAGCCCTTGATCTCGACGTTGACCTGGACGAAGACGCGCGTCGCGACCTCCGGATTGAAGTGGTGGTCGTCGAAGAGCCGCGCGTCGTTGCAGAGCCGCAGGAAGGCGATCTGCGACATGTCGAAGGGGTCGTCGTTGGCGTCCGCGACGGCGTAGTGCTCGACGGCGCTCATCATCATCACGTAGAGGCGGCTCAGGGCGCCCGAGAGCGCGTCCTCGATGGACCGGAGCGGCACGCGGTCGTCGTTGCCCGACATCTTCCGCAGCAGGTGCTTGAAGCGCGGCACGGCGTTCAGCAGCTTCAGGTCCGCCTTGAGCATGCGCTTCAGCAGGCGCCCGTGGTTCAACAGACCGCGCGCGTCGGACTCCTTGAGCCGCGGCGCCCAGATGGACGCCTCGGCGCTCCACGGCGGCCGCGCGGGCTCGCCGGGCTTCGGGCCGTCGCCCTCGACGGCCGGCGCGTCGCGCCTGCGGACGATGACCACGGGGTAGACCCGGGGCAGCTCGCCGAAGGGGACGACGCCGTGCTGCAAAAGGAGGTTCGTCGTCACGAGGTGCGCCATGTAGTGGCGCGTCATCACGGGCGACTCCGGCGCCAGCGGCAGCGGCAGCACGGAGGGGTCGAGGCGCATGATCTCCGCGGGCCGCGGCGGCGCCAACAGGCCACGCCGCCGGTCCACCAAATTCGGCTGGAGCCAGTCGCGCGGCTGCGCCATCGTGGGCCAGGGGCCGACCTTGACGACCTCGGACGTGATGCGCGAGCTGTAGTAGACGTGGTAGGGCGTCGTGCGCCGCGGCGCGTGGTCCTCGATCTCGATCGTCCTTTCTCGGCCGTAGTCGAGGTCGTCCTTGCGC